TTTTTTTTTTTTTTTTTTTGTGCGCAACGCACATTTTCTGTGCGCAGAGACCGTGCCAGCAGTGCGCAGCTTAGAGGGAACATTGGTTCGGAGCCCATTACTGAGAACTATCCCAAAGGACTGAGCTCCTCACCCTGTTTGAGAGCCCCTACACCCTTCATCCATTCTTATACTTCAGATATGTTTGTACAGGAAATATTCAGGTGCAGGGTAACTGGTTAAATTGCTTTGGAACCTGATTGTTATCACTGTTCAAACTGTGACTCAAGTAGGGACTTTGGTTTGAACCTGAGGATGAACCCACAAAATGGATCAAACAACATTCTTTGTATAGTTTTGAAGTAATTATACTGTTTGACAATTACAGGGTGTGTGCGCCATTTTCTACAACGGCAATTGTGAAGTGAAAAATGGTAATGAAACACCAGACCATAATAACTTTATTTTTTTTGTAGCCTTGTGCATTGTACTCGTCTCCTTGTTTATCCAGCACATCATTGTTTAATGGTTTTAAACTGAGACACAGATTTCTGGAGCTCTTTTCAAACACTGATTTTTATTCTTCCACTGCCAGGGTTATGAGTAAGAGATGGGGTTGGGCATCAGCTTAAAAGATTTCTGACAGAGGCATTCATATTTTGGATCTCTAAGATAATTATTTTAGGATTTGGTAATCCCCGGGGGGGAGGAACAAATAAGCTGTGCCATGAGTCGGCTGTATATAAAAAGACATTACAACTATTAAATGCCACATCTGGATTTATGCACGGAGTAAAAAATGAGTATTAGAAGGCGTAAAGGTGGGTGGGTTTTTTTTTTTTTTTTTTTTTTTTTTTTTTTTGGTTTTTTTTTTCCTCCTCTCATTCTTCAAAGCTGATGGTGTTTTGGTTTCTGCAATGTAGAACTCGCAGCAATCCTCTGTGTATACACCATATATTTCTTTGTTTGTGCTGGGGTATCAGAACCTTTGGCTGGATGAGTTTTTGGCATAGCTTGAAAGTCAGATTTTTGCTATCATAAAAGCTCTGCACACACTCTTCTCTCAAACAGCTTCATAAGGCCATCACCTGGAGCATTTAAGAGACTTTTCATGCTCAGCATTTTTTCCTGCTTTTTATTTATTCTGTGGTCCAATTAGGCTCAAGTCTCAGGATCCCTATTAAGCACTCCTTTATTGGGATCCGTCAGGTGTAGCACTCCAATTCTTCTCCTTTAGTTCTTACACAGGCTGTAGGTGTGTTTTATGCTAATGTCCTGCTGAAGTAGTAACGAGATGGAAGTGTTAATTCACTTGTTCATTGAAGTGTTGAGATCTGAAATGAATTGCCAGCATTGTCACCAGTACGGCCCGAAGAACAATCACACCCACTTCAACTAAAACTACTCTTGCAGATGTCAACATTTCACCTTAACTGCATTTTGTTAGAAACAACATTATGGCTTATTTGACCAACATGCCACTCCACTATTCATTGTGTTCCTTGTCCCAAACATGTCTTTCCTTATTATTCCGTGTAACAGTTAAAACAGTCACACAGCCTTCTCTGAACAATTGATGCGTCTACTTAAATCTTGGGAAGCACTAACATTAGCTCTAGTCATGCATGTTGAAAACAAAACCAATGATCTGCAGCCAAGGCAACTCTGTCTTCCATTTCATGATTTGGTGTTTTTTTTTTTTTTTTTTTTTCTTTCTTCAAGTATGAGAGTCACTTCTGGCAAGCTGTACAAGACAAGTGCAAAGTGGCCATGAAGGCAAACAGTGGCTACTTTGGTAAATCAGTAATATGAAGTAAATTTCTTCTACATTGAAGAACATGGCTTTGTCCAAACTGCATCCACACAGAATTCCCTTTATACAAAAGAAGCTAAGAGGCTACATGGAGCACAGAAATCCTGATGTTTTCAGGTCACTTGGATAAGTGAATCAGCCTTTTGTGCAATCCTGACCTATTGCCATGAAGAACCATGGGGACACAGGCTGGCACTTTGCCTCTTGCAACAGCACTGACTCAGCAGAAGGGAAAACTTTAGGTCGGTTGTTATAGCGAAGCTTGAGACCTAGCTTCTTCCATTCTGTTGATGTTTATAGTCCTGACTGCTGTGAAACTGGTCATGCCACAAAAATTTGCAGATTTCTGAGCCAAATAGTCCTGATTATGAAATGAATGATTTCTGTACCTCATTCATGTCGACATGTTGTCTAGAATGATTTTGATGGCCATTCCCAGTATTTCTGCAGTTATTCCTCATATCTTTTCACACTTTTTCTCAACCTTAGGTCAGATAAACTAATTAAAAAGAAACAAAGTTATTAATCTTACATCTTTAAGTGTTTTTATATTTTTGTCATGGAAACAAATCTGCTTTTTTTTTTTT